GAACTGCACAGCAATTACAGAGGACTCTTGGCAAATGGCCCCACTTGGGAATCAACGGACCCAGTTCCAGTCCCTCCACATTGCCCTTCTGACAAAGCTGCACCTTCTCCACTTACTTAAGTTAATAAGGACCTACTGCTCAACTGTAACTCTGGCAATGCATTAAAGAAATTCCTAAAAATAAGAAACAGAAATATTTCCAAACAGCTGAGTGAGTATCAAGTACCTCTTTACAGACCCTTTAAAAAAATATCTTGTTTCATTATGTGGCCAGCTGGACCTTAAAAAAGTGCACAAAGAACTTGAGTTCTAAACTAAATCTAAACTAAAATCCCTTTAGTTTTACCCACAAGGTTTAGGCTACATTGATAAGAAACCTCCAAAGAGTTGCTGTCTGCCAACTTGCAAAGCAGAAATAACGTGTCTAGAGAGTAATGCCATTATTTATATTTTATTAGATACATTTCTAAGCAACTGATTTCCCCCAGTAGAAGAATTTGTGATTTATTTTCTAGACAGAAAGGGCTCAAGGTCAGGAATTCATCCAGGAGAACGTGTTCTCTGTCTGCAGCAGCTCCCACTAAGGTATGTTTGATAAACCTCTGTCAGCAGGACAGAAGTCAGTTTTTTGTTCAAACTCAGGTGCTGAAAGAAAATCATTGCACTTTAGTGCTCTGGTACCTCCACTAGACCTCTCAAATCAAATCCAGCCTTCGAAAACTTCCAGGAAATCCGTATTTTAAATGTTATCCTGTCAGAAAAAGTTCACAGTTCACCATTTTCCTAAACACATTCCCAAAGTGAAAAACACACACAAGGACAAAGGGGAATCCATCACAGCCCTCAAATAGGAAGGAGGACTAAAGCCAAGCAGATGATCAAACCCTTCTCAAGTTTTAAGTATTTCAAAACTTACCATGTCCCTGCCTGAAAATTCCTGGCCCATCTCAGGTCATCTTAAAACATAAGAGTGGAAAAGCACTTCTTGGCTTGCTTTACTTGGCTGCAAGAGCACATTTTAACTACAATCCAAAGACCTTCTTGCCCTCTTGCACTTCCAAGGAGCCATCATTCACCACGGGTTTGCCTTCGACCCGCTCTGGAACAAGTGCACATCACTGACCAACAGTTCCCCAGAAAACACAACATAAACATTCTCAGGCCCCAACTCCTGAATCCACAAGGCCTTTTTCCTCAGGAGTGGATGATGCTGAAGGCTGGCATTTGTTTCCAATTAACATTCTTCCCTTACAGCCTGTGTGGTAGCCATTGACATTCCAAGTGGCTTTTCAACCTCTCTGTCGCCTCCATTTCACACATTTGAGCCTTGGACTCCAAAGCCACAATCAGTGCTTGTGACAGCATCCCAAATTCTGAGCTGCTCTCGGCCACAAGTACCAAAAACACCTTTCTACTGTCCAAGTGTGAATACAGGAGCGTGATTTCCCTGCAGGAATGCAGGGTACTTGGCACAGGGAAATGCTTTCCCTCTCTCTCTCCAGGCCTGAAAAGGCCAGGTAATATTAAGCCTCAGAGCATACAGCACAATACCCTTTATTTTCATGAGGGATTTGAATACCACGGATTCTGGGAGCTCCGAGATTTCCTCCAGAAGCCCAGTCTCCCTACAGATAAGGCAGTGGTGGTCTTTTCTTTTCCTCTTTCAAACAAAAGTAGGGGATTATATTAAGTAAAAGAGGCAAAAAAAAGTTATTTACCATTACTCTAATTGCAAGGTTGAGGCAATCAAATTATGAAAAGGCTCCTTGGCAAATGAATCCACAAAGCTCAATTCCTTAAATAAAGGAACATATGGATGTGTGCACTCACCTTAATGATGAACCTAATTTACACAGGCCTCTTTAAATATCCAAAACCTAAGCCTGTAACACCACAGTTGTGTGCAGCAAAAATGGATCAAAATCATCAAGGTGCCACTGATATAAAGCACCAATCCCTTATTCTGAATTTGTGATCCCTGAAACTCAGAAAATAGAGCAAAACTCCTCACTCAGGAAAGCAGCCGTTGCTGTTGTTTTTAGCACTGTGCTGAGCTTCAAAGGAATGAAGAACACCTTACCATCAGAAATCAGTCAGAATAATTAAATACAGGTAGGTTAATAATATCAAGTGAAAAAAGGAGTCCTGCTGCCAGCTGGCCACATGTCTGCACAAACAGAGGGCTTTGCAAAGACAACCGGGGATTGTTCTGACACCTGCCCGCTTCCCTTCGGCATCCTCAGCCACAAAGAGGGAGCAGCAAGTGAGTTCTTGGCATTATTTTGAAGCTCAGCAGTGTTGAACACCGGGTTACTTCAAAGGGGCATGGCAGCGAGGTGGAAAAGAAGTGTACACTGTAAAGGACAGCCTGATTAAGTTCTGAAACAGCATCCAGACGAAAGACAGAGGAGGAAAAATGTTTCAGTCCAACGCTTGCCTGCCTGTCCTGGATTTCAGAAGCTGGCAGCCCCGCGGCTGACAGGAGCTGCAGCACCCCCGTGTGTGCAGCAGCGCACTCAACAGCACTTCCACACTTTTCCTCCCGTCCAGAAACGCTGGAACCGTGCCAAAAATGACAGTCCGGGAAAAAAATTCTTGCACTTCAAGGAATCCACCCAAGTAACTGAGCTTTGGATGAAGAGTTTGGATTCCCCATTAAAACTACCCCAAAGAACAACCAGGTGGACTGGCAAGGTGTCCAATTCTCTGGCAGACAGCAGCATCCCCTCCAGCACCCTGTAAAAGGTGTTAGATCATACTGACCTCTCATTCCTGAATGGGACAGGGGCCATCTCACCTCGCCTACAGTATTTCAGGCTAATAATCGGAGGGAAGCTAGGAAGGAAACCGCCCCCCTTTCTAAAACCACAATTCTTTTATCGTTATTGGGTTTTGCTCATTTACTTACAATTTCTTTGTTTTCAGCCAAGCCAGAACAGGAAGCAAACAGGAGAGGCAGAGACACAGTTAAGCCAAACACAGCTATAGATCACATTACTTAAATAATAAAGTGTCATTCACAAAGAGTATTATATAGGCTTTTAAAAGACACTTCAGTCAGGTTTCTCAGAGAACACCGCAACAGGTTTTTTCTGATTTCTTCTCCAGAAACCTCCCTCAGCCCTTCCACACTCAAGGACTTACTTGACCTGACAGACATCATTATATGTGTCTTTGCTCCATCTTTGTCTCATCAACATGCACTGACAACAAAGTAATTACATTACCATAAAAAGGCAAACAGTAAAGCTCTGACCCTCTTTCCCAGAAACTCTGAGACACGGATTTTAGGCCAGACAATGTATTTGAACAGAGTCATCACTGTGGCTGAGAACAGAGGTAAGCTTTGGGTAAACAAAGACGTTTTCCAGGGCACAGCCACCAAAGATAACAAGCATCACAGCCCCGTTCTTGAAGTTCACAGTGCATCTTCAAGACAGAGAATGAAACGTATTATCCAGCGAGCATTTCAGCACTTCTACGTTCTGCTACAACAGAACCCATTCAGAGAACTTGTACTTGCCTGACTTCAGTTCCTTAAGCTTAGGCTCCCTCCTAAGTACATGCAGTATTCCAAAAACCCTCTTCCAGACCTAGAACAATGCCATGAGAAATCCACCACCAAGTACGCTCACTGGTGGAACCTTATTCTCTTTGAACTCGCACTGGCAGGTCTTGGGTGTAAAATAAACATAAATGCAGAACTCGAAATCTAACAAAGCCAGCTTCCTGCATTGAACATAGGGGGTCCTGAGAGAGTTGTGAAGCATTTTTTGCAGTGATCAGTTTCACGGCCCTCTTTATGCTTCCCAAGAAATTTCATGTTATTTTTTTACTACACACAAGACATAGCTGTTGTCAGCCTGCCCTGCTCCCAGGCTGGGGACTTGAGCCCCTCTCAGGTGAGACTGCTGAGGAAGCAGAGGTGACTTCCCTCAGCACTGCATGGAGCACCAGCTCCCTCTACCAGCAGCTTCCCAGAGAAAAATGTCACTTCCCTTTGCAGTCTTTTTCCAACACCTTCAGATGAGGCAAAATGACAGTATTCATTCAGAGAAATCCGTAAGACCCTTTGAATTATCTAAAACATTATCCTACCTGTAATTCAGACTTGGAAAGGGCTTTATCACATACCTTCTGATCTCCTTACCTGTGGATTTTGAATTGTTAGACACCATTAGATGAGATGCTTCTGGCTGCTTTACCTTGGGTTTCACACCTGTTTTGAGGAGTTTTTTTGTGTAAGAATATCTTGGAAGCATCCAGATATAACACTATCACTGCTGTTCTGAGACTCCTAACAGTGAAAACAGTCAAAGTCATCAGTGAAACACCCCCACAGGTAAAGTGCAGGGTTACTAGTACAATGACGTCTACACTTTTTCTTCTAAACTGCCGATTTTAGTCAGAAAGCGTATCTCAGCCCTACCTGTAAAGTTCCACTAGATTATCACAACTCAAATAAATACTTCCAAGTCTGCATTAAAAATCCTGCTTCTGAATTTCTGTTAGTTTACATCACAGTAGTAGCTTGGAATCTTTTAAAAAGGTAAAGTAAGTAACTAATTGCTGATCATTTTAAGGAAAAAAAAACCCAAACCTCTTCACCTTTAGGCTTGAGAGTAAAAAAGAGGCACTGTATATGAGTCACAGTTCTATTCAACACTCACCTGCCCAGTTTTTTATGATAATTCAGGAGATAAACCTGGATTTCTGGACTATGGCAACTGCAAAACGACCACCGTTGAAACAAAGCTTCCCAGTAAAGACACAGTTTTGCTGACCAATCGTTCCATATGGCCAGCCAGTGTTTTATTTGCAAAATAAATATACAGCAAGTAAGTACATCTCACTAAAACAGACTACTTCAATCCTGAGACAGCTCTCCCTGGAGCTCAGTGGTGCTGTTTCCTAAAGCTGTATCTGGTGGCCAAGGCAGCCACGATGTCCCTGTAAGGAGTATCCGAGTCGGATTTGGTCCTCGGGATGCAGCAGAGGCGGCGGAAGGCGGGAGAGCGCAGCAGGAGGTTGTGGCACAGTCCCACCAGGCTCGAGGACAGCCAGTACAGCGCCATGGACTGCAACAAGACAAGCACAGGTCAGCTCCCAGCAGGCAAGGAACACACCAGCCCCAGGCAACTCCTCCCCAACCACAGCTGCGGGTTACTCCCAGGAACTGATAAAAATAACTCACCTAAAACACTCCTCCTCTCATCTGCAATATAATGGCTTCCATGTGACATGGAACTGTCTGTCTCTGAACTCTTCTGGGGAAAAGTGCCATCTACACTGAGGCTTGACAGTTCTTAAATTAATTCATATTAAGCTTGCTTCAACTCCTGTATTTGAAACTATGATTGAGCCAAACAACCAGACACTTTGTTTTTGCTAAGAATACTGCGAAGTAGAAAACCTGGTAAAAATGAGAAGTGTTTGAAGAAAGAAAATTTCCTAATTCAAGAACTACCCTGGTTTCCTGTTAACAAACATTTGCCTATGTGTCGTTACATAAACCTTTCCTCTCCTTTTTCAGACTACATGAAAGACATCAACTCCTTTCAAGTTTGCAAAGTCTTCCTCCTTGAGCAAAAATATTTCAAAGGCAACAAGATATAAACATACACATGGACAGAACATCTGACTTTTTTTAAGCACGCAGCAGTAGAAATAGGAAACACTTGAGGCCTTTAGGCTGCCCTTGAAACTCCAGAACAGAGCAGCCACAGGTGATGTCCCAGAGGTCACCCTGGTACTCACGGAGGGCACTGTGGCAGCAATAGGGATCATCACCACGGACACCGCACGGAAAAAGTGCGTAACAAGCTTCTGGAACCGGGAAAGTGGCACTTTCCTTTGGGAAGCAAAGATCTGAAAGGGGAGAAACTCACAGTTACAAACAAGCTCTTCTTGCAACGGCCATACTGAAGATTAACACTCAGAAATCTCAACAGAGCAGCCTTCTAGAAGAAACTGTAGTCAAGACTAAATATTACTGAAGCTCAAGTAGATCTGAGACTTGTCATATCCGACCTGGAGGTCTCTGAACAAAGACACCTGCACGTTAAAACACACAGAGCAAACAGACTGTGTTTCACTTCTGCCAGTGCATTCGAAGCAGTGATAATCTGCAGCCACCTTTATGTGTTTGCCCTTTGCAGTCACTGCTGCTGGTTTAATTCCACCAACGTACCTCCACCACCAGCAAATTCACCAGCCCCAGGGCAACTGGCAAAATCCACGTGGAATCAGGCGCCGTCAGGTCTGTAAACCACAGTGCTCCTCCTGAGGAAAACTGTTCTTGTACTAAAGGAAAAATTTGAAGAAAACACAGAATTCGGTGTAATTTGCTGTCTCAAGTGAGCCAGAACTTGAGTTAAATCACAGAGCCAAGTTTCTGGGCATGTTTTATCCACATGATAAGTATGATTAAAGCAGAAATCCTTGGCTTAACACTCTGGTACCAATATAAATAAGAGAAGTGAGAGATACAAGCTGAGACCCAGCTTAGCTCGTGACAGCCAAGGACAGGTAAATCTGTGATAAAATCTCAAATATTTTACAAGTCAATGAGAAAAATAAAAATGCAGTAACCTACAAAGTTTATTTCCTGGTTTTGAAAAAAATATGTTTTTCCTAGTAACTGTACAACTAGCTACGTTTTTGCATAAAAAATAAACTATAAGCTCTTGTCTAAAAAATCAGTATATAATTTTTTTTTAATATAAAAGACCCTCACACATTCACCTCTTCTACAGCATTTCACATGGAAGGAAAAAAATACCAATTAATAGTGAGTGTGCTGTGGCATGTGTAACAGCACTTGCTAAAGAAGATTATTAGACTACAAAACTCGTTTCAAATTCTATTCATCACCAATTATTTCTATGAATGAATTAATTAAAGCTCAAACTGTATGAGGTTTAAAACCTTAGCAGCTGGCTGTTTTTGATACCGGCCTGTGCACCAAGCTCAGGACATTGCAGTCGTTAAGTGACCAGGTGTCTGTGACAGCACTAAGTGACCAGCAGGTGACAGGGGGAGAGGATGCAGCACCTGCCGGGCCCAGGGCGCCGACGCTGCAGTTGCGCAGAGCCAGGGACACGCAGACCCACATGGGGACCTGCACCCACAGCAGCACGGTGGCCTTGAAGGGGTGGCAGTTGTCCCGGACGTACAGCTCCGTGACAATCCTCCGCATGTTCTTGGCGAAGTGGAACCTTTTTGGAAAGGAAAACAAGAGCTTAGAGCTTTGCAATGGGTAACGCCCAAAAGGCAACAGGAGAAATAAATGAATCGTAGGCAGAGAAAGAAAACCTAAGCTGTAGGCAATGGCAGAATCTTGCTGTAAAAGCGTTTTCCTTCCTGCCACACCTCATTCTGGATGGGTTCAGGAAGTGTAGACAATCCCCCTCGTACCTGGCCACCTTTTCAGACCACCCTAGCTGCTTTCCACGCACTGAAACTTCATAACGAAGGCGCTGGGCAAGTTCTTTAATCTCAGGCTGCAGGTTTTCCAGCTAGCTAAAGAAAAGGAGAACGGTTTGGGCACAGTGGCAGGTGACAATTGCTCCCTCTCCTCACCTCTGTTATTAGTTATCTCTGGTAATTCAACACCTGAACGAGTTTTAAACGTATTAATTATCGCTGGAACATCTGTACAAGGATTAAACATACACACTGCCACCACGTAATTTAATACCTCTGTGGCTATTACACATATTAATGAGCCTTCTATGATTTAATTCCAGCACAGTCATCAAACATGGTAATCATCACTGCAATTTAACACCTGTACAGGTAGTAAACACATGTGAGGGACAAGGCACCCTGTTCAGTATCAGTAAATACCTTTCATCTTTAAACAAAGTAACCATATGGAGGTAACAGTGACAAATAATTACAGTAACAATCAAAGATAACCTCTTACTAGTGCATGAAATGAACACAGAATTTTACTCTTTTTAGATTTTATATTTATAAAGAAGAAAATTATTTCTATCACAGCTGAAATCAGGGCAATTCTTGAGCATCTTTCTGCCAGCATTCAGAACATGTAATCAGCTACACCACTTAAAAATACCCAGCTTAAATGCCACCTCAATGAAAAAAACAAATAAATTACAATAATAAAACATAATAATAACACACAAACATAAATACTTAATAAAAGAAAACGTATACAATAGAATGCATTATTTACAATATACTGTATGTTACATATAAATATATTGCTATATACGATATAAATATTTAAATTATAGCTACGTAAATTTTTAAAAGTAATAAAAAAGAGTAATAAAATAAAGAGTAATAAAATAAAGAGTAATAAAATAAAGGCCATGAGGGCACAACACGGCAGTGAACAAAGTCACTCCCCACAGCATGAGGCCCTTTGACGCGAGAGCGCATGATGCTCACTTTAGCAACTTAAAAAAGCACAAAATGTAACGAAATACCTTTAAAAAGCCCCCAAACCCGCTGCAGTAGAAGAACTGTGATGTTGATGCCGCGGCCCCCTCAGCCCCTCCACAGCGCTCCCCTCAGAGCCGCTCCCGCCCCTCAGAGCCCCCTCAGCGTTCCCCTCAGAACCGCTTGGGCCCCTCAGAGCCCCCTCAGCGCTCCCCTCAGAGCCGCTCCCGCCCCTCAGGGTGCCCTCAGCCGCAGCGCTCCCCTCAGAGCCCCCTCAGCTGCACTGCTCCCCTCAGAGCCGCTCCCGCCCCTCAGAGCCCCCTCAGCTGCACTGCTCCCCTCAGAGCCGCTCCCGTCCCTCAGGGTCCCCTCAGAGCCGCTCGGGCCCCTCAGAGCCCCCTCAGCGTTCCCCTCAGAGCCGCTCCCGCCCCTCAGAGCCCCCTCAGCGTTCCCCTCAGAGCCGCTCCCGCCCCTCAGGGTCCCCTCAGCGCTCGCACCTTGGCCAGGAGCCGGCCCTGGTGCGCGGCCAGCGGCAGGGTGACGGCGGTGCGCAGCACGGCGGCCCCGCCGGCGATGGCGGCCCAGCACGGCAGCCCGGTGGCCTCCTGCAGCGCCGCCAGCCCGCCCTCGGCCCAGTGCACGGGCGCGGACCGCGCCGCCCACTCGTACCAGCCCTCAGGGCCGCCGAGGCCGCCCGGTCCCGCTGCCGCCGCCAGGGCCGGCGGGGCCCGCGCGCCCGCACGCGCCAGCCGCCACATGCCGGCGGCGCCCTCCTCCGCCTCTGCGGCGCATGCGCGGGCCGCGCGCCACAGCAAAGCGCCGCCCCACCGCCGTCATGGCGGCTGAGGGCAGAGGAGCGCCTCGCTCCGAGCCCGGCGCTGTACCGTAACCGGACTGGGATGGAGCCTGGAACAGCCCCGACGGCCTCCTGCCGAGGGCAAGGGACACTTCCCCTCACGTCACAGAACGCGCGGAGTTGCAAAGGAACCACGAGGATCAGGGAGTCCAACAGCCGGCACTGCACAGGATCACACCAAACCCTGTGTGAAGGGGCGAGGTCTTGATCAAAAATGGCTTTGAGCCCTGCCAGCGTGGGGCCGGTGCCTCACCCCTCTTACAGTAAATATTTCTTCCCAATAGTTAGCCTAAATTTCCCTTGTTTCCATTTGTACCCGTTACTTCTTGTCCTAGCACTAGAGTTCCTAACAGAGTCCCTGTTACTCCTAGGCCACTTGAGATGCCTCAAGGCTGCTATGAAGAACCTGATGCCTGGAGAGGCTACCTGGAACAGAGGCTGCACAGTGTTAAAGGAATAAGGTAGGGATTTATTAAAAAGCCTTCAAATGATTCACCTTGGGCAGTGCAAGAGCCTGGCCATGGTTTCACCAAAGATGGACTGACTCTCAGTCTGGAGTTCTCACACTTTTATAAGTGTTTGCCCAATTGCAGCTCTCCTCAGTTCTCTGTTATTTACACTTTCTGGGCCTGAAGCTGCAGCAGTGTCCTTGGTTCTGGGGCTGGAAAAGGATTGTTGTGTCTAACTAAGCTGTGAGGAGAACTTGCTAACATTTTATATGAAGTTCAGAGTTACATACTGATGCAGTACAGAATCTGGAAAATAAGAAAGCCAAAACTTAAGGCATCAACCCCCACAACCTTGTCTTATCCAGGCTGAACAGGCCCAGCTCTCTGCCTGAAAATTATATTCAAGAGTAATTAATCATTAACAAGCTTCCACATTGGCTATGTTCTCCTGCCCAGCCAGGTTCTGAACTGTGTCTCCTTAGCCCTTCTGTGGCAAGGAGAGGTCAAAATACCCCTTAGACCACACACACTCTGCACCATGTTCTCTTCCTCTCCATCTTTGCCCTAACCCTGGTTCTGTTTCCTCTTCCCAAATAAACAGCACCTGCCTGCTCCCAGAAGAGTACATTCCTTAGTTTACTGGGCAAATAAAAAGCATTACAATGTGGAGGGGAAAACAAAAAGTATCTGGGACTAAGGATAGTCCCATTCTCCCCAAACAGGATCTCCCGTGCCCAGCCTACAGCCATAGTGGTGGCATCAGGCCCGTTGCTGCCTCAGGCATGGATTAAACTGTCAGGTCAACAGAAGACTCTGGAATTCATGGTTGTAATACATACTGAGCACTGTTTTTCAGTGGGATTAATAATTAATAACCCTAGACAGCACTAAAGCCTGCAGCAAATGATTGCAGCAGAGGAGAAGGGCACTCACCCCCACCACGATAATGTGTGAGATGGAGTTTCAAACCATTTTCTGAGCACTTCCTCACTTTGGGATCCGTTTTGCTACCACCAGATCTTCACAGGATATATTTCAGGAGATCAGACAGCTGGAAAAAGGAACTTGCTTTTATTCAGAGCAGCACCTAAGGCCAGACATATGGCCATGGGTATGCAGAAGGTTTGTGGACACCTCAAATATCACAACAGTTAAAAGGCAGTCGTTTCTGTGGGCAGCTGAGGTGTTTTCTTGGTTTTCCGAGGAGGAACCACAATAAAACCAAATAAATCAGAGTTGTAGATGTCCTTTAAATGCTCTGTAAGGGAACTGTACAGGGATCCTGACAATCTGTGTCACTGCTCTCCCAGCCTGGCCTCACAGAACCTACCCTCCTCCATCTCCTGCTACTGCTGTCCACAGGTGACAGCTCCTGACCACGTATACGCCAACTGCCACTGGGACTCTTCCAAATAAACCTTCACGGGCCTTATTCTGGGACAGACCTGCCTTTGGAGCCTTCAGCACGGAAGCTCTCCTCAAATGTCAAGCAGACAATGTATGTATTCTCAAAAAAATCCAACACACGTTTGGAAAACACCCTCTGGTAGTGCCTGGGGTGTTTTTCTTTTTATAGCTTACTTAAATTACACAAGTAGAAAAGTTATGCTTATTAATAGTTTAATGTATGAAGGAAACATCCAGATTTCTGAATATGAAGGTACATATCTCACATTAATTTAAGTCTACATAAAGTAGAGCCTCTATAACTGACATATTGAAATTTACTTTCTGCTTAGCCATTTGTTATGTAAACAATTGTACATTTATTTGCCATTCTAAAACTTCAGGATCAAGTTTACATAATTTTGCTAAATTTCTGTGTTTGCTCAGAAGCAGTTTACAGTACTAAAACCAACCAGCCAAAGAACAGCTTCAACAGAAAGTTATGTCAAAAAAAAAAAAAAAAAAAAAAAAGAAGAGGAAAGGAAAGAAGAAAGTCTAACTAAGTTGAAACATATGATGGTGGGGAATGGGCGGTCACAATGTTCACAGAAAAAGGTCAGTTAGTAAGTTCTTCTGCAAAAAGCCTACACACTTCAGTCAAGCACATCAGTAGAATGATCTGGGAGCACATAAACTGTTTCTGCCAATTGTGGTTTCCTCTGCAAAAGAAGGAATCTCAAGGCCAGCACGTTGATCCCACTCAGCCCAGTTGGTTCATATGCACACTGTTCATGTGAGGTGTCCAAGTTCCAGTCCACACCTGCAAGAGAGACCTGTGTTACCACCGTGCTTTGGGCTGCTCCAAGCAGGGCTCAGCTCCCAGGGACACCACAGGGCTCACAGTCCTTCCTCTCCAGGACAATTAACAGGGCTCTGGCTCTGCAGCACATGATTTGCAAGCCCAGTTCCCCAATCCCTCCAGCTCCCACAGCAAGGAACTTGCTCTCCTCTTGACCTTAAGTTCAGACAAACAACAACTTGATTTCTGCCACCTTAATGTCCCCTAACACCTTGAGCTCCGGGGAATCCCAAGTCCAAGTAAGTAAAGCTTTCTTTGGGTGACAGGGTTTCCTCATTAAACCAGAAATGACCTCGCAGAGATGAGAAGCCACGTCAGAGCAACACCTGAACTGTGGCCAAACCCTCTCTCCCTCACACCTATGGCCCACCAGCGCTGAGAGCTCCCCACAGCCTGAATCATGTCCAAGCAAATTAAGCCCAGAAACATCTTTATTTAGTAACAGTATAACAGGGATCACTGTCTAATTAAACATAAGCACAGGATATAATCTAGCTAGAGCCACTGATGTTCCATTATAGTATTAGTTCCTGAGCACGAACAAGAGGTTTAGGGGAATTAATCCCTCTGCCTAAATTATATTTAGAGGACAAGCCAGGCAAGATCAGAGCAGCAAAGAGCAACTTAGTCCCTTCCTAAAGAGCTGCTTTACACCCTTCCTCTATGTGCTCCTAACACAGTCACAACATCCAAAACTGCACAGCCCAGCAGAAGCCCTGTTGCTGTGTTCCCTTCTTGTTAAGGGAAAGCTTAACCAACAGCACATAAATTGGCTTTTCCCATGAAATTTCGCCCCGAGATTTTTTGTCCCAAATGCATAACTGCACAGATAGGAATCATGGCACATTTTGAGTAAAATACACAGTGCAAAAAAATTAAACACTTACTGTCTGAGGCCCATTGTTTTCTGTGGAATTTGAAACCATCTTTATCAGCGAGTTCCAAGATGGGTCAGCAGCATGAGGCCCGTTAAAGATGGGGCCTCCAGTACCATCTGTGATGGGGGCTACAGGAGGAATTATGGCGTTCCCATACACAGAAAAAGGCATTCCCTGAGGGGAAGGAAAAGCAACAGTCAGGATGCTTTCATGAAGGCACAGACAGAAAGACAGGAGGGGATTCACGCTGTGTATGAGGGCCAAGGAGGTGATTACCCCAACTTTTGGGAAGTC